AAAAACACTACTTCTTAGCAACCCTTTTTAGAAATAAAAGGCTAACTATCCATAACCGGGCTAGAGACGGGAATTTAGAAAGACATATTGAAGAAAATACAGCAAGTAAAATGGTTGAAATTGAAATGCATGTGTGAAAAACAAAAGTTAACTAACGGAGAGTTTTGCTCAAGATTGAGAGCTTCGCCCTTCTCTTTCAAGCAAGGGGGAGTGTCACGTGCTCTTTCCTCCAAAAACACAATTCTCTTAACTAAAAATAAAGTAAAGGCAAAGTAAAGATAAGCTAAGTGTTGGATTTTTATAAATTTGAATAGGTAGAAAATAACTAAGTAACAACAGAAACAAAACAAAGCTCAATAAAGGAATGTAAAGTGCTCGGGATTTAAAAACTAAAAGCAACTAATGAAAGCAACTCAAAAGTACTTAGAAAGCAACAAAGAAACACTAAGAATGATCAAGAGAAGGAAGCAAGGCTTGATGAATTTGGTGGAGAAGCTGCTGGAATTTATAGTTGTGCAGAATTGGTTAGGTAGGTCCTAAAACGCTGGTGGATCACCCATTTCCAACTCCTTTGACTGACCAAATCATGCTCAAACTGATAGTGGAACACTTCTTCCACACGTATGCATCGGTTGGAACCACCAAAACCCATTGGAAGACGTGTTTCATTAAGGACGAAGTTGGAAGAAAACCAGGATTTCTGCAGCCTACCAGGCATCTGGCGCCTCCAATGAAGGTTTTTCTGTCTTTTTGCTTCTTTTGATTAATTTGCACTCACAAATGGTCCTAAAATGTCATAAATACAATATAAGCCAACCACAAACCATCATATATGAATTTTTCATGAATTGTAACTCAAACGACCGAGAAGAAATCCGAAACAAAGTTAAAACATAGTAAAAACAGCATCTAAAACGTTCTGTTTACGCATGTAAACAAGCGTGATCACCCACCGGCGGAATGGAAAAAAAATGTAAAGAGAAGTTTTTAGAAACCAAACCAAAAAAGTGTTAGGTACAATCTGACCAACATCCCGAGCGTGTAAAAAATTAATCAAATCTTTTTGACTAAAGCATTCCACAAAGATGTTGATAACTGATTTAGAATGTAATTAAAGAAAAGTAAATGCACGAAAAATATAAAGAAAGTATTTTTCATTAAATTTCAATGAATAAATAAGCTACACAATGAGTTATAGCTTGACCATCTTCTCTCTCGAGCGTGAGGAGAGTTGAAACTCGCTAAAGAACTTTAAAATAACAGAATAAACAAAGAATGGAAGTAAGAACTTGAATTAAAAGCAATACAAAAGGTAAAAACATGAAAAAAAAACAAATGAATAACTAGAATATAAACATAAACCTTAAATACGTGTTCTACAACTAGAGAGCAACTAAAAGAAGATGAAATGAAGCTTGGAAGGGATGGGATTCTGCTCGAGGGATGACTTCATTTTATTGCACCATAGGTTGGTTGAAACTCCCCTCAATTCCAGGTGGAAATTGGTTAAGAATAACCTAACCACCTCACTTGGACTTCAACTCACGGTTTTGAACATGTGGGAAATATCATCCTTTCCCTTCATTAATCAAAACATACGTTTTGCCATTTTGTTATCAAAAAATGCACCGGGCGCAATTCTGCAAAGACAGATTTCTGATATTTTCTTCCAACTTTGAACACATTTTTCTCATATTTTTCCTAGAGTACCATAGTTTGACTTTTATGCAGAAATAATCTATGCATGTTCTACTTAAAGAATATGTGGTTCTTTTTTGCAAATAATGATGGGAAATGTGTCAAAAATGTGGTCAAACAGGGCTACCGACACATGTTTCTGCAGAAAAAAGCCAACCCTAATAAAGGTCAAGACTTTGGATTGAGAGAACTTGTTCTAGATCCAAAGTGAAACAATCCACAAGTTTGATGACCAACTTAAACTTGCATTGTAACGCCCCAGAACTTTCCACACACACTTCTAGGTCACGTTAACTACTCACCTATCGAAACTTAACTCCAAACACGAGATGACAATTCCCTGTGAACTAATCATATAACATATAGCTTTAACTCTCATCAATTTACCGATGAATCAACTCTATAGAATATCAATCAAATATCATCCGTGGACAACCCCATGACGCAACTTCATTATTTCAACTAGGCAAAATCAATGAATGGAAGAAAAAAACAAAATAAACACCTATTCCGAAATAAACTAAACAACGAGTGGGAACCTCCCAATTATTCTAATAAGATCAAGTAGTTTAATGACCCAACCAATAAAGTCTTAACCATCTAAACATAATCTAAGCGAAAAGAACTACGCAGCCTATGGTCCTCGCTCGTCATGTCTCCTCCGTCTCATCACCATGGTTGCCAACGAATCCTTCACCTGAAACAATAATTGTAGAGGGGGGGTGAGTATATAAAATATACTCCGTAAGTAGCCCTCACCACAACACACAAACATCATGCTCACACAAAATCATGAAACATTCATACTCATGTTTTTCATCACATTATGCAATTAAATATAGACACATTCAGTAAGATTCGGCGACAACCACAACCATGAACAATTTACTTACCACCCTCGAGTCTCCCTAACATCTCGAGCACCTCTACGCTTATCACAGCTATCATAGCCTTCCACACTTAACCCCTTCGAGTAGAGTCGGCCCCTGACCATTTTTACCCAGAGCCCCGACACTACTGCATCGGCCTTCGACCATTTTTACCCAAGGCCCCGATGACTTCACCACCTATCGGCCCTTGACCATTTTTACCCAAGGCCCCAATAGTTTTCCTTCCACAAGACTCCTCGCATCGACCCTCGACCATTTTTACCCGAGGCCTGGATACTCGATTAGTGACGTATCAGCCCCCGACCATTTATACCTGAGGCCCTGACACTCACCCATTCACTTTCCCCAAGAATCCAACTCTCACCAGAGTCTTACTATATGCTTCTTAAGCCATGACCCAAGCATCTTTCAGCTCACAAACACAATTCAACATCCTTCCACAACATAAACAACATTCTAATAATGAAATAATAAACCAATCATGCTTTCACAATATAACATTTCTTAACAACAGCTCCACAACGTGCTTCCTGGTTGTGGTTGTCACTAAATTTTATGGAATGTGTTTATGTTTGAATGCATAATGTATTGAAAAGCATGACTACGAATGTTTCTTGATATAGTTGAGCATGATGTGTGTGTGCGTTGGTGAGGGCTACTTACGGAGTATATTTTATATACCCACCCCCCCTTCGATGATTGTTTCAGGTGAAGGGCTTGGGAGCGACCATGGTGATGGGACGGAGGAGACATGACGAGCGAGGACCATAGGCTGCTTAGTTACTCCATGTTTAGTTTAAGTCATTGATTAAGGCCTTATGTTATGGCCAATAACGATTTGTTCGTATTTGAATAATTGGGAGTTTCTCCCTTGTTGTTAGTTTCATTTCGAGTTAGGTGCCTATTTCAGTTTTATTCCATTCATTGAGTTTCGCCTAGTTTGAATAATAAACTTGCCTCGTGAGGTGGTCCACAGATGTTGTTGAATGATATTCTATGGGATTGATTTATCGTTAAATTGATGCGTATTGGAACTCGATTTTATATATTTGTTTGCATAGGGAGTTGGCAGGGCGTATTTGGGGTTAAGTTTAATTAGTTGGGTAGTTAACGTGGCCTAGAAGTGTGTGGGAAATTCTGGGTCGTTACAATTGGTATCAGAGCGGAACCTCTCCCAGTAAGATGTGGTTCGGGGACGAACCAAGGCGGAAGCTGGTGGGCATGTGACGCCCGAGAGGAGGGGTACATGAATGAACCGATACCACATCCGAATGAGTGGGATCCTGAGATTATTGAAGAATGGTCAATAAAGGGTTAAAAAGAATTGATAGTCACTACCTATACCAACAAGGTGCACCTTCCTTTTTGGTGGCTCAATCGTAAAAACTCCAAAGTTAAGCGTGCTTGGCTTGGAGCAATCTTAGGTTGGGTGACCTCCTAGTTGCTTTACTAGGAAGCATGTGAGTGAGGACAAAGCATGCTGGAAGGACTCGTGTTGGTCTATAGGGGCAATCTATGCTCTTCTAACTGACTTAGAACTTGACGGTGGCGTAGCCAGGTCGCAGGGAAATGCCGGGGCAGAGAGGTGCCGAAACCGGATTCCGAATCTTGGGCCTGGGGCGTTACAGACGGTATCAGAGCGGAGTTGTTCCTGTAGACTGTCTTAGAACCTAGGTCGATAGGGTTTGGTCCTTGTCAGTCTCCTCGTCATCACCAGGTACGTTTCCTAGTTCTGTTGTTCGATCATGAATATCTTGCATTACTTATGATTGAGATGTCATTGTTGTCTGATATTAGACAGATTGGCGTGTTTTCTCTGGTTCATTATATAGACTTGTTTGAACTTCGCACTCGTGTTGTGCTCCGGTTAGTGTGTTAATGACCTTGGTGCTCTGTTCTTTTAGACAATGGCTTTTCGGCGGAATACGAAAGCTCACAACTACGAGGATCCAAATTGTAGGGGTGAGGGAGCAGCGGATCTGAATGTTCCCCCTGTAGTTCCTGGAAGGGTAGCACCCCCAGGCCCTCAGGCAGCTCCTCAGGGAGTTCCCTAGGTGAATCCTAGGTGGTGTTGCTAGCTGAGGCATTGCAAGTATTGCTGGATAATGCGAATGGAGCCGGTGGAGCTCAGGTGCAGCAGCCTAGCCGGGGACAAATTTCGCAAGAGGAGGTTCAGTTTATCAGGGATTTCAAACGCTTTGGGCCACCCGTTTTCAACGGGGTGAGTGAGAGACCTACTGCGGCCGAGGAATGGGTCAGGGAGTTGGAAGCCCTTTATGTGTATCTGGGATGCTCCGACGATTTCAAGGTCCGGGGAGCAGTGTTTATGCTTCAGGGAGAAGCAGTAAATTGGTGGGAGTCGGTGGCGGCAGCGGAGGATCACGCCAACGTACCCGTCACATGGGCAAGATTTAAGGACCTACTCTATGAGTACTATTTCCCCGTGACTGTCAGGAATGAAAAACGGGCAGAGTTTCTCCGTCTCACTCAAGAAAGCCTAATTGTGGCCCAATATGAGAGGAAGTTCACTGAGCTGTCCCGTTTTGGAATGCAGTATATTCCTACTGAGCAATTAAAGATTGACAAGTTCATTGACGGTTTGCGTAGGGAGATCAAGGGGCTACTTGTTCTCAAGGAACCAACTACATATGCAGCGGCAGTCAGGTGTGCGTTGGTTATGGACAAATGTCTCGAGGAGCCCCAGTCTCAGCAGGTGATAGGCTCCAGCTCGGGGGTCAAGAGAAAATTTGCATCGTTCTCCTCCAGTCAACCCTCAAGAGGACACCAGCATAATGGGCAAAGGCAGACTACTCCTCCGGCGTGCCCCTCTTGTAAGAAGAACCATGCTGGGCCATGTTGGGTGGGAAAAAGAATATGTTACAGGTGTCAGAAGGAAGGACATTTCGCAAGGGAGTGTCTGATGACCGGCTCGAATACCCAAGCTTTAGGCCAGAGGATCCCTGCGACGGCGACAACTCAAGGTGGGACCTAGAGGGCGCGCGTCTTCGCTCTTACCAGGGGGGATGTTGAGCATGCCGAGGCAGTGGTCACAGGTACCTTCTCTTTGCGAGTCTTGAACTGTATGTATATGCTTGTGTTTTATTGCATGCGTGTTACTTTTGCAGGGACTGTTTTAGTGCTTAGTATGCCTGCGTACGCATTATTTGACTGTGGATCTAATCATTCTTTCATTGCTTCTACCTTTGTTCGACATGCGGACCTAGAGCTATAATCGTTAGGCTTTTTGTTGTCGGTATCCACACCGTCAGGATCTGTGTTGGTCACTAGTCAAGTGGTGAAAGGAGGTCAGCTCTCTTTCGATGGTCAGGCCTTGAAGGTGACATTAATCCAACTGGATATGCAGGATTTCGATGTGATACTAGGCATGGATTGGTTAGCTGCCAATCGGGCTAATATTGATTGCTCGAAGAAGGAAGTTAGCTTTCGCCTGCCCTCCGGACAAAACTTTACCTTTAAAGGAATCAAGGTCGGGGTCCCGAGGGTGGTGTCGGCATTGAAGGCCAGCCATCTTCTCCAGCGTGGTGTCTGGGCCTATTTGGCTAGCGTTCTGGATGCAACGAAGGTTGTGCCGAGCATTGAGGCGGTTCGTGTGGTTAATGAGTTCACTGACGTGTTCCCTGAGGACCTCCTCGGCTTGCCTCCGTCTCGCGAAGTGGACTTGCATATAGAGTTGCTGCCAGGGACGACTCTCATCTCGAAAGCACTTTATTGAATGGCTCCGGCAGAGTTGAAAGAGCTGAAGCTACAGTTGGAAGAATTACTCGACAAGGGTTTCATCCGCCCAAGCGTGTCCCCTTGGGGTGTGCCCGTTCTCTTTGTTAAGAAGAAAGACAGTTCTATGCGACTTTGTATAGATTACAGGGAACTAAACAAAGTTACGGTTAAGAATAAGTATCCCCTACCACGCATTGATGACCTTTTTGATCAGCTTCAGGGAGCGAAAGTGTTCTCGAAGATAGACTTGCGTTCGGGGTACCACCAGTTAAGGATAGGGGAGGCCGACATTCCCAAGACAGCGTTCAGAACCAGGTATGGGCACTATGAGTTTATCGTGATGTGATTTGGACTCACAAATGCTCCGGCAGCCTTTATGGAGCTAATGAATCGGGTCTTTAAGGATTATTTAGATTCATTCGTCATTGTGTTTATCGATGACATCCTGATATACTCCAAGACTGAGCAGTGTCACGAGGAGCATCTCAGATAGGTTTTAACTACACTACGAGAAAACAATTTGTATGCAAAGTTTTCAAAGTGTGAGTTCTGGCTGGACAAAGTGGTTTTCCTAGGACACATAATCACCAGGGAGGGTATTGCAGTAGACCCCGCCAAGGTAGAGGCTGTTAGCAATTGGCCAAGACCTAGTTTAGTTACAGAGATTCGTAGTTTCCTCGGCTTGGCTGGTTACTACAGAAAGTTCATCCAGAATTTCTCTCGGATAGTGACACCGTTGACGCAGTTGACTCGTAAGAATGCTACCTTCACTTGGAGCAGCGAGTGTGAGGAGACTTTTCAAGAATTAAAGAAGCTTTTGGTGTCTGCACCGGTGTTAACTGTCCCCGATGGGACGGGAGGCTTGGTGGTTTACAACGACGCCTCGCGAAAGGGCTTGGAATGTGTGCTGATGCAACATGGGAAAGTTATAGCTTATGCCTCTCGACAACTGAAGGTGCATGAGCTTAACTACCCCACTCATGACTTAGAACTAGCAGCAGTGGTCTTCGCCTTAAAGTTGTGGAGGCACTACCTTTATGGAGAGAGAATTCAGGTCTTCACGGATCATCAGAGTTTGAAGTACCTTTTCACTCAGAAGAAGCTTAACCTAAGGCAGAGACGGTGGCTGGAGTTGGTGAAGGACTATGATTGTGAGATTAGTTACCACCCAGGTAAAGCAAACGTGGTGGCCGATGCTCTTAGTAGAAAGGCGGCAAGTGTGGCATCTCTTGTAGCGGCCTGCAGTCCAATACACAGCGAGTTGGAACGCTTGGAGGCAGAGCTAACGCTGGATGATGTCTCCGCGTTGTTGGCTCGACTCTCAGTAGAACCCAGCCTAAGGCAGAGGATTATTGTTGCCCAAAAGGAAGACCCTGGCTTGGCCAAAGGCTTTAGTATGGTAGGCCATGGAGACTTCACTCTTTCGGGTGAGGCAGCTTTGCTTTTTCGCGGAAGGTTGCGTGTGCCAAAGGATTATACCTTGAGGAAGGACTTACTGAGAGAGGCACACAATACTCCATACTCGGTCCATCTAGGAAGCACCAAAATGTACCAAGACCTTAAGAAACATTATTGGTGGCATAACATGAAGAGAGAAATAGCTCAGTTTGTTAGCAAGTGTTTGACATGCCAATAGGTAAAGGCTTTAAGACAGAGGCCTGCTGGGTTACTGCAACCTTTGAGCATACCAGTTTGGAAGTGGGACGATGTGGCTATGGACTTCATTACAAGACTACCAAGGACGGCTAAGGGATTCACTGTGATTTGGGTAGTTGTAGATCGTTTGACCAAGTCTGCTCACTTTATTCCCAGCAAGGCCACGTAAACCGTAGAAAAATGGGCGGAAATTGTCAGGCTACATGGTATACCGGTATCCATAGTGTCCGATCGCGACCCGCGTTTCACCTCGACTTTTTGGCGGAGTTTACACAAGTCCTTGGGCACTAAGTTGGACTTTAGCACGGCGTTTCACCCCCAAACCGATGGTCAGACGGAGCGTGTGAACCAGGTTTTAGAGGATATGCTCAGAGCTTGCATGTTAGACTTTGGTGGTAGTTGGGACAAGTACCTCTACCTAATAGAGTTCGCTGATAATAACAGTTTTCAGGCCACGAT